AAGCACAGCATGTATCCACAATAAATAGATATTGCAACATTAAGACGGTGATACGCTTTTATTGTTGAACAATAATAAAAAGTGGTGATGAGCCAAGTTAGTTTCTAGAAGTTAACAATAGACACAGTTTGTACTACCAACTCCTGAATGAGCTCGGCGGAACTTTGCTACAAACTTTAAAAAACGCCCGCTATGGGAAGCCTGGACATTTGTAAAGACAGAGGGTGTCGTGGGCCCCCAGACAGAAGCGCCATTATGTATGAATCCGTCACCGCGTCCGTCTGCGTCAAGACTGTGGAGGGAGAGACGGTCGAGAAAATTACAAAGAGGAACGGGAGGTGACAAGAAAGAGATCTGAGTGGAAGGAAAAAGATCTCGAGTTAAATGAAAAGGGGGAGAAATCAAAAAAGAAATGAGGGGGGGGAGACGGACAAAAAGAAGAAGAAAACCAGGGACAGAAAAAGTATCATTGTCATGTCAAGACAGTCGACTGGACAGGAATTGATGATGCAATAACAGGATGTCATCGTGTCGTTGGCATTAAGTGCTGCGCTGAGACGTCAGGCGCTTTCTATTTACATATGGAGAGCCAGATTGTTCTCTCAATCTTCTTCTTCTTCTTCTCCCTCCGACCTCCTCCGGCCGTTTCACCCTTTCTGTCTCCCTTTCCCTCTTTTTTATCTTCCTCCTCCCCGTTCACTCTCTCCGTTACTCAGCCAGTTAATTGGTGCTTATGCATTAATGAATGCAGATCGATCGAGGCCTGACACGATGCGCAGCCCTATTATCATGCTTTCATATTTATGGTTGGCAATTGTAAGGGTGTAGTTGACAGTGTGTGTGTGTGTGTCAGAGAGAGAAAGAGGGAAACTGTTTTTTCGTCTGTGGTGACCACAGTCTCATCCTTCCAAAGCTACTGTCACAGCTTTATTAGAGCTATACATCACTGGCACATGCCACACACTGACCCGTTGTGGCTCTCTGTGTGTGTGTGTGTGTGTGTGTGTGTGTGTGTGTGTGTGTGTGTGTGTTTGAGAGAGAGAGAGAAGACAGAAAGAGAGATCTGAACTGCACTGTTTTTCTGTAAATGCTCTGCCGATTTTACATGTTGACAACAGTATCATTCTGTGTATTCTTGGTTTAGATATCAATAAAAGTGGTCAGGTTGACAGTAACCACAGACACAATAATATGGAATCTACACAGGAGATACAAACATGCTGCATTTTGATCACAGCGATCAGTTTGAAGCCGCTGCTTTGACTCTGAATAATATCCTCTCCTGTTAATGACTGGACTTAATGAACTGCTCTACCTGCTCCCTGCACCACATCTCACAGGGCAGCTTCGTGCAACGTTGCAGTAGACAATCGTTTTGTCTTTTATATTATGGCATAAAGTCCAGACTTGCTTCTTACCTGCCAAAAATCCCCACCATCCCACGAGCACTGTGGCTCTGTCAGTTAGCAGCCCCGTCATGCTTTAACAGAGTCAACGTGCCAAAAGGCCTTTATTATATAACTGGTAGACGGGCCCAGCAACGGCACAGAGTCCAGGTGTGACCGGTGCTTGTGTGTGAGCAACAAGGGAGTTTACATGACTGACTGAAAGAGAGGAAGATTGTGTGCGTTGTGTGTATAGAGGAGGAAACACTTACAAGCCTTCACCCATTCCCCTATCACACATATTGAGAGCTCCACATGAGTGACTTGGGTGAATGGTTGGATAGGAAGGAGGGTGGATTTAGTCTGTGTGTGTGCGTGTGTGAGAGTGTGTGTGTGTGCATGCTCGTGGATGTGTCTGAGGGTAACAGAGTGATGTGGTGATGCTTTTCTTTGTATGCCATCTCTGTCTCTGTTTGAAATGATCGATCTATCTATCTATCTATCTATCTATCCATCCTTTTGATATTGTCATCTGGAGGTTAATGAGGCTAACTTGAAGCCTTTGGTTGCACCTCTCCATAACAATGTTCTCTTTAGCATCTGCATTGTAAAAATATTGTGCTCAGCTTGACATTTTGGATCGGGGGAGGAAGTACTGGATATTTTTAGACTGGCCTGCTTTAAGTCTGCTTGATTTGCTGCAAGAAAGAGGCAGATGTTCCAGTAAATGACATGTTTGTCTGTACATGTATATCTTTTCTTTGCTATAGCTGTCTTTAGCAGTCATCGAGCAGCACTACAGATTTTTAAAGAAACTAGATAGACCGGGAATGATTGAAATCACATCCCAAACTCACCCTGGATCTCTACCATACTAGACCTTGCCCCTGAAAAGGGTTTCATAATCGTTTCCTTCACTCACATCTATAGTGTTATCTGGAGCGATGTCAGCTATTGATGACGGCTGACGTCCCAATTTGTTGACACGATTAGCGCTCATCTCCTTCATCTCCGTCTCCTCTGTGATATTCGTAAGCAATCAAGATAGATCCTAATTCATTTTGACTGTGAGACGCCTTCACTCATTATCGCAGTTGCATTGAAATCGGTGCGCTCTGCTGGTGTAAACTAGACACGAGGTGGTATCACTGCTTTTAGTGGTGCCATTATCAGCTGAACTGTCCTGGGGAATTATCGGCAATTTTTGCACAGATGTCAATAGTGTGCATCCCTGCAGCATATAGGAACAGGTGGTAAACCAATTTCTTTAAACCACTTATTTACACAGCAGCTGCTTCATCAAGACTGTCCACATGTTCAGTTATTCCTTCTGCGTCTCTCCTTAAGTTCACTGTGAAGCTGCTGCAAGTACAGTTAGAAACCGGCTGCCATCGGTGACCTCTCCTTGTTTGTGAGGAGTGTTTTATGTCACTGCTTTAGAGGCTGTGACTATAGTTGCCGGCTCCAGACTGCAGAGGGAGGAACAATATGGGTCAGTAGAGGGAGTAAGAAACTGTCAAAGTGAAAAGTGGAAGTTGAATAAACATGTACGAGGAGGAGAGTTATTTTCCCCCACAGTACGAGATGTGTTCAGAGCCAAGTTCAGGTCACACAGCCAAAACAAAGCTCTCTTTTTCTATCACTGAGTGATGCATCCATGGCCCCATGTGAATCTCAAATGACTATTGCATATACACTGCATACTGTACATGAATACTAGGTGTATAAAATACACACAATCTGCTTTAATACATCTGTTTTGGCCTTAACTAACAACATTTATTTTGTAGTGTGGTTCCACCCTGATGATGAAAAAGACATGGTTTAAGTACAGTCTGAGTGTTTTTCATCAAATTCACAGACTGGCTGTTCAGAACACACACACACACACACACACACACACATTCAGTCTGAGTCGCTATCTTCAGTTTGCTATTAAGAGGAGTGCTGGGCCAAGAGAGCTCTCGACTCTGACAGGCTCTCCATATCCTGCACACACACACATGCACACACACACACACACACACATGCACATCCTCTCCCTCTCTTATGACCAGTCCTTCTACCTTATGATCAGGTAGAAGGAGGTGGATAAGTGTATAATTATGGGATGTTTATGACTGTGTTCCATCACTTGGCAACTGCTTTACAATTACTTACTTCCAGGAGGTACAACAAAATATATATATTCACATATTTAGAGCTCAGATGTGAATTTCTGTCTTAAATGTCATGTTCAGCGATTGGCTGTCCTTAGCTCCACCCTCTCATGTCACTTCCGGTTCCAAAAAAACAGGGTGGCGAGAGGAAAACAGCCGAACTCGAGGCTTCAAAACCGTAAACTTCATGCCACTTACAGTTATGCTATGTATGGCTTTTTAACATGCTTTGACATCAGGGACCGGGACCCGGATCCGAGTAAACTTGATCCCAAAGTTCTGTTTGTGTGATTTGTGTGAACCTGGTGAACTTGAAAAGGTGGTCTTGAGTATGGCTCATGTGTAGTCGCCAAAACACAGAAGTGACCCGCACGGCCACAGGTGACAAAGCAGGAAGGCAGGTGAGAGGTTTGTGCTTCTCTCTGAATATTAACAATAAATAATGATATTATAATAATATTTAGCAACATAAATAATAAAAACAGGAAACCATGGTTTGTTTCCTGTTTCCAAGTGGTTTTGGGCCTAAACCTAACCAACACTGTTGCATCATAATATCTTCCAATGATGGGATTTGGGACACTTGAACACATGAGCTGCTTTATTTGTATACTTCTTTCAGACACATTTGTCAGATTAGTGATTCCCCATAAACAGTTTGTGCTTTTTGGCACTCTTTAAAACCGCCGCTTTTCAAAAAGGAACTGGAGCCGCAGTTTAAATGGCAGGATGACATCGCTGACTCAGCAGTGGTTCTACATATTTCCCCCTCCCTGATGCCGTGTGTGTTTCTCTCTTCAAACAGCGAGTTTGCTCACAAGGAAGGCGAGTAATCTCGCAGGTTTTATAAAGTGTGATCCGGCATAAGCAGACATTTCCAAAATTCATTTCAGTTTGTTTTAGCACTGCATCGGTGCTGGGGGGGGGGCAGGCATAAAACCGCTCCTCAGTGAAGCATGAATCCAGGCAGTGCTCGATGTTCCGCTGTTGCTCAAAAGAAGAGTGATGAAAGCCGCTGTCTGGTGTGTGTGTGTGTGTGTGTGTATGTCGGTCGGCCTGAGAAAGGGAGGGGACGCGTCACTGACAGCTATTTCTCTTTGTAAGAGGAAGATGTTATTCCCCCGTCGACACATTTGTCGAGTCAGACACTGTGTGAACGTCTCTCCAAGTCATTGTTCAATTCTCTCCGAATTGAAAAAAAAGGAAGCGTACACACAATATGATGATGTGCAGACAGCACAAAGCTGCATAAATGTAATATTCTGTTGTATCATCATCATCATCATCATCATAACATTGCTGCATTTTTCTTAATGAAATTTTGCAGCTCAACTAGGATGTCTACAAATATGTGCCTATGTTTCCGTGTGTGTGTGTGTGTGTGTGTGTGTGTGTGTGTGTGAGAAAATGTCTCTTTTCCCTCCGTGAACTGTCTCTCCTCTTCTTCCTCATCCAGGTGAGCCTGATGCACAACGGCTGGCCGGTGATTTCAGCATTTGCCGGCGACCAGGATGTGACGCGCGAGGCGGCCAGCAATGGTGTTCTGATCCAGATGGAGAAGGGAGACCGGGCCTACCTCAAACTGGAGAGAGGAAACCTAATGGGAGGATGGAAATACTCCACCTTCTCCGGCTTCCTGGTGTTCCCCGTGTAGAGGGGGGGGGGGGGGGGGGG